CAGGGAACAGTTTTGAACAGCCCAAAGCATTCCTAGATCTTTCACATTCAGAGACCTGAGTGCCAATATTTCTTAGGCTTTTGAAGACCTTACTTTAAAACTACATAAGCAGGAACTAATGAGCTATCTATCCCCTTTGTTAGTACAGACAATGCTGAAGTACAGCATCCCTGTACACCTCAGAGGAGGGCAGTTTGAAACTCTTTGGCTTAACTCAATTGCTTGTTCCCAAAACCTTGGACTAGAAGCAGTTAAATTTTTTGCATTACATGACCTGTCATTCCAGGGATCCAGAGGCCAGATTATTGTAATGATTTTGTTGGACCTTAGTGTCTGTTAATCCTGTCCAAAGCCCTCTGGTGCTTGACATTTTCTTATGAAGCTCTTCACTTATGCAGTGGTGTGTGTTTCCAGCAGACACAGAGCTGTAGTGCTGCTCTTTAAATAGAAGCACTTGCTTGCTTTGGTGCAGAGCTGGTGGCTCATGTCTTCTTTCATCAGTCATTTTGCCATTCTAAAACCTTAAGGCAGTTTTATCTATAAAATAGCAATATGTGCTTGATATTTTAATTACTTTGTTGGCCATGGGTTCCATGTTGGGTGGAAACAAAACTAATGGCAACTGCTAGAAACTGGTCATGGCAGGATTGGAATAGCTCAGTAGTCCTTAGGAGTCTGGGAAAAAAATCACTGTCAGTCCAATGTTAACAGCATTCACAGATAAGGTTTGTAGGCTGCTGGTTATGGCTCTGAGGCAGCCTACAAACAGACTCAACTGAAAAATGAAGGGAGACAAAGGATGCAGCTGTTACTAATGAGGGAAATTCTTGATGAAAACAACTACTTTTATACTAACCAGTGAGGTTTCTGACTTTCAACACAAAAGTGTGTGCAGTAACTACTGTCATGTCCTTACATAGCCACAGTACAGTGAATGCAGGTAGTATTCTAAAGTCTGTGAAGATCAAGTCCCTTCATCGAGCTCAAGATAACTTTTGCTATTGGGCTAACAGGCAAATCTTGACCACAGAAAAACATCTTTGTTGATATAAATCTGAGGATGAACTATGACTATACCCTACATTTGTATGTATAAATCCCTGGTGGCTACCAACAATCTTTCCATAAAATATCTATATGTAAAGTTATGTATTTATCACTTTATTCCATTTCTAATTCTATGCTTTTTTAATTTTTTTTTTTCCTTGCTGTATTCTAAAAAAAATCTGTTGGATATACTTGGTCAATTCAATAAAAAATGTGCCAAAATGTACAAAATAATAGAGGGTTTGTGCCTGGCCTAAGTTTCTAAAGACTTGAGCTTTTTGCTGTATGTAATTTTTTGTTTCCTATGTGCTTTCAAATCACTCTTTTCGCAGCTGAACCTTTCTGAAAATGAGTCATCATCCAAAGAGGAAATTTACTGAAAATATTTAATAGCTATTGGGGTTCTGTGCAAAAACATCCCACTGACAGTGCTTATCTGTGCATTTCTCTGTAATGATACTCTTCCTCCTTCCACTCTTCCTACTTGCTTGTTACAAGTAGTAACTTTGGCAGAAAAAGGGAAATATCTGTGCTTTAAAATTCCCATGCCATCAAAGGATTTCCCTGTGCTAGAAGTTTTCTCCATGATCTGTTGTAAGCAGCTCTAACAAGGCAGCTTCTTGCAGGGAAGCACCTAAAATCCTGCAGATGTCATGACATCACTGAATTACAGGAGCAAATGACTGTCAGAGTGTTATTGTTTCAGGGAAGAAATAAATCCACCTACACCTGAGGAGTGCCCAGCGCTGGCAAATTCTCACACCCTCATCCATGGGCAGCCACTGCTGAGTCTCCCCTTGTGTCTATTTTCAGACTTGAGACCTTATAAATGTGATCAGCCCCTTGCAGCTCCTTAGGAAGTTACTGCTGCATCACTCACAGGTGTCTGAGCTGTGGCCCCTTGTGGATCTTGGAAGCAAGGAAGGAAAGAAGGAAGGAAGGGAGGAAATGCAAGAAAATTACTAGTTCTATGTGTTGCTTTTGAAGTCCTGGAGAACTGTTAAAAGTCCCAAACAAACAGGTTGGTACAAGCAACTTCCTATTGCCAATTGAGATTTTTCAGATAATGTGGTCCTACATAGGATTGTGTGGACCTGTGGCGCGGTTGAGGCACTGGAACAGGTTGCCCAAAGTGGTAAATGCTCCATCCCTGGTAGTGTTCAAAGCCAGGCTGGACAGAGCATAGGGTGATATGGTCTAGTGTGAGGCATCCCTGCCTGTGACAGGGGGTTTGGAACTAGGTGGTTTTAAGATCTTTTCCAGCCCAACCGTTCTATGATTCATTCTGTGATGACCTGTGTATCCCCACAGACTGGGGTTTTCCTGTCTGGATTATTCTGCTGTTAAATAAATAGTGGGAACCCTCAGTTCCTGTTCTATTTTAACAGAAAGGCATGGCACAGGGAACCCAGTAACTTGATTTAAGCAGGAGGTCTTTTCCTAGATTGAGTGGAACACATCTGTATTTCTTTAGTATAATTGCACCCATCCCTGTTCTCCTGTTGACACTGCGCTTAAGATAATGAAGTTGTTCCTCAGACTGAGTCATCACTGAGGAAATGAATGAAAAACGCTCTGAAACACAGGAGCACAAGATCTAGTTGAGCACAGTGGTTATTAATACCATGCATTGTTTAAAGTTACATGACCTTCTTAAGAATAACTTCCCTACAGTGTTTTTTTTGCAGTTACATTGTAAATTTAAGTAATTTGTATGGTTGTTTTCTGTTTGCTTGTTTTTTTTTTATGTTTCAGAGGAAATAACACTGCATTTTCTTATTTCAGAATTAAAATCTAAGAAACTTGGTTACATGCAGTTTAAATGACTGATTTTTTTCTCAAATTTGTGCCAACAGTTGTAATTACCGTGTCCTGAACTCACTTCCATTTGCTTCTTTACTTCCCCAAACTAAATAAAATAACAGGAGTTTCAGAGTATTTATGATTAGAGAGATTAGAGTTAACCAGAAATGAAGCTCACACTTGTCTCTTGCAAATTAGATGGGGAAGATATAAGAAGCTTAACTGGTTATCAATGTTTTCTCTTCTGAATTAAATAGTATGTAAGTTATTACAACCTTTTAGGTCTTTTGAAACTTGCTTCATAAACCTCTCAGAGGAACAGACATGAATGTCTTTATATAGCTGAGGATCAATAAGGGAAATCACTCTGAATCTTAATTATTAATTGATTAATGGTATAAAGTATTACAGACAATGCTGGCATTGTTAAAGGGTATTGCACTCAATGATTCAGAAAGTTTTCTGCTAGCTTCTGATCTAAGTTATGAACCCAGAAGCCAGAGACTGAGAAATCTCTTCTTACAGTGCTGTTATTAAAAGCTCAGAAGCATGAACATCTAAGCAAACCTTTGAGCTGCTTATGATAATACTTACAACTATGAAAGGATGTCTAAAACATACCCTTATATGTCGAAAATATCCTCTCAGTGACTTTGTCATTCTTGGCTCTCTGTGAGAAAATGCTCTCTTACTCCTTAGCACGATTTAATATCCTTCTGTATCAAGAATGTTTCTAAAGCCTAGTAAGTGTAACAGATTTGAAAAATGAAACTGCTTGTAGGCAGGGCAAGAGTTATCTATGGTGAGGATGGGGAGACTGTCTACTATCTCCCACAGCATGTTATTTTGAGCACCATTAAGCAGTACTAACAGGAGGTTGCAGCCCTACTTCTCCCATTTCTGAATTGCATGAAAAACCCAAAATTCATGGAAAAAATAGCAGTCGCAGGAAGAATAAGTTATCACTTTGAAGAGCAGATTGCAGTGAAAAACAGCAGGAACACAGACATGGTTTGGAAAAGGTGTTTAATTGCCACCCTTCAGAACTCCATGTATGCCCATAATACAAGAAGTATTTGCACTGTGGGGTTGCTTAGCTTCTGGACACTTCTGTTCCCCAGACCCTTCTACCATGCATGCTTAACAGTGCTACAGTTAAGCAATAGTGAGCTATTTCCTTTCTATCTTTCGAGCAAACTTAATTGGGATTCAGAAAGAAATCATCATTTTGCCTTTTATCCTGTTCCCTTTGCTGATAGCTTAAAACCTACTCAGGATTTTCTAGCAGATCAAGCTCCACACAAAACACAAGAGCAGTCATAGCAGTCTTTCAGTAGTGGGAGGATTGTCTGACTCCTAAAGATATACTCTGAGCATGTCTGCAAGAAGGAGACCCAGCTTTGACTGTCAGGTCTGGTCAAAGCCATTTTCACAGGATACAGATGCTGCATCACCAAATTGTAGATGACCTAAGAGGTAAAATCTTGTTTGTTTGAAGGAAATGTATGACCAGGAAAGTCTAAGAATTGTACTGTTAGGGTATCAGTGAGACAGATGTCTAAGAACTCTTCCCCCATAACTACTTCTCTTAATGGGCTTGGGCTAGTGGCTATTAGGTTACAGAGCTGCAAGTGTCTAAAGTCTTTGAGAAAACCAGACAAGGAAAAAAGACCTCTAAGCACAGAGCGGAGAGTGCATTTCTTCTACTTCTAGAATAACCTGTACAACTGGGAATTCTTCTGCAAAGAGGCAGGCTTGTACCTTCCCCTGGAACAAAATTAAACCAGTAGTCCTAGATTTCGGGTGAGTTCTGGGTGAGTACTGAGCTCCTTTTTGCTGCTGCGCACAGTGCAAACAGTCAAATTTCCTGCCTCTGGGACCACTGGAGGAGTCAGCCTGCTGATGGTGTAAGGGACAACCCTCATCCTGGGGAAACCAGTTTCCTGATCATAGCACCTCCCAGACAGATCCACCTCAAGTTTAGGCCACTTTTTGAGTAGGTTGTAGGAAGCTGGATTAGTTATACCAGTCACATTATCACACATAGGAGAGAAGTGCCTACCTTCAAAACAGGATTTGGGTATGAATTCCCAAAGAGATGCCTAAGCTCTGCTATTTCTTCTTTTTCAGAAGGATTTCTCTGTTGATTATGTAGTCAGCTCCCTCTACAGCAGAGTGCTTTGTGTATCCCCTCTGAGACATCCACTTGCCTTGGGCTTTGGAGAACTGGAGGGCTGTGGCCCTTCCACCAAGGATGGTGAGGGTCAGGTGCTGCCAAACTTGAGCTTTTATCTTGGGACTTGTGTATTTCGGAGACGTACTAAGGAAGATCACTGACACAGTGAGAGGTCTGGGTGAGACTGTTTACCCTTTGCTTGAGCAAATTCAAAATGAAGGTTTGCTTCCATTTTGAAAAAGAATCAACCTCTGCTAATTAATATTAGCTGGAGAGTGTACATTAAAACGTCCCACTGGAGCATTCAAAGAATTATAGGGTTGTCTTTGGCAATATTCATCTTCAAAGTGCTTTGCAAACTTTAAAGTCTAGCTTTTGATTGAAGCATTTAGAAACAGAGGTGATGCAAGGAATAGTGTCAACCCAGTACTCCTGCCTATGCTCAGGTGGACAGTTTGAGCTCCCTGAGCTCCTCTGATGGGCATACTGAAAGCTTCCACTCCAGACATCAGAGTGAAGGGAGGAGGAATATCCCCCTCCTTTCCCCTGTGGTGGGAACAGTGGTCTCCAACCATGGACAGTTCTGAGTTACTCAACCCAAAATGCTAGTAACAGCTTTTCATTTTTTGTAACTGAACCTTATCTAGTCTTCCATGTAATAACAGGTATTAATTCACAACTGAGATGAAAGAACATCAACATCAACATTTCCTCGAAACCAATAACAAGTGTCAACTGCAGCTACAGTCCAGGTGTGCATGCTTCAACTGTTATGGCCATATCACATAAACTTTATTTTGGAGGGGGTGTAAGTCCTGAAATCTCAAAACAGGGTTTATGGGATAGAAATTCATATACCTAAGAAGTTATGTATTATATCCATATGCTTTATTCTTCTCAAGATTTACTGATTTGTACTGTACAGAAACAGGCTTGGTGACAAGGTCCATGAATATGCTTCTTTCAGGAAAATATATTCACCAGCTCCCTGTGTTTATAAGAATTATCATAAAATAGCAATGTTTCCTCCAGACTGGAAAATCCTTTGGAGTCACATTATTGTTTCAGTTGAGAGTCTTATGCTGTTAATCATAAAAGTGCTGTGCTGACCCAGCTCTCTCAAAGTATAATGAAGCTAAAATTCTCTGTAATTTTTTTTAAATATATACGTATATATTGCATTTTTCATTTTGGTGCTTTACCGAATTCATAACGTGGCCCCAGAGAGCTTTTTTGTTGTGCCTTGTTCACACTTCTGATATGATGAAATTTGTTGGAATTTTTTTTTCAGTGCACTTGTGCACATACATGGTGAGAAGTGATAAAACACCAGAAGAAATTCTTTGCCTTAACAGGTAAGTTGTGCTGGATCAAAAAGGATGAATCTCACGCAGGTGTAAAATAACATAAATTCCATGAGTTGAAACGCCTCTTAGTATTTTTCCAAAGCCTTATCCCAGGAGAAAATTAGTGGCAAAGGCACCTGACGAAATGCCATGTTTTGAAAACAGATTTGAGAAAAATGCAAAGCTGACAAATATTCTCCTTTGAGATTTTCAAACTCGAAGATTTTTGCTATCAGAAAGAACTTTTTATTATAAAGTCTAAGATAGCCAAACATACATTAAATAAATTAACATTTCAGTGAAAGGAAATCACTGAAACCAAAGCATATTTTTTTTGAGGTTAAGGGTTCAGTCATAAACTCCTGGTGTATTTCACAATTTTATTCCAGTTTGTGATAGAAGAAAGGTTTGAAATGTGAAAAAAAATTCTGGTATAGATAAGGCTTTTCCTCTCCAGCTCAGCTGACCCACCAAGATTTCTTAGCCTCATCAGTGTCTCTATGCTGTCCTTCAATCCTTCACAAGATAAAAAAGTCTCAAAGACTTTTTGAAAAAAATTTAAAATATCTTTGAAAAAATTAAGATGCTGCCAAAAGATATGTGATGTGTTATACATTTTTATAGAACTTAACAATTTAAAATGCATTTGAATGCATTGAAATAACATTTATGTTCTCAGGGAAATGGAATTTATGTCCTACTTTAATAAATTGGCATTTGAGTTGCAAGTCAGTACAGAATACAGTCCATTTACTGTGCATGATACTGACTTCTCAGAGGTTTTTGACTGTGTTATTATCTATTACTTTGATAATGGATCTTACAAGTTTTGTGCAAGTTTTCATGTTCTTAAGCATGTAAGCTTCTCAAAACCTTCTCCTTTTTTTTTTTTTTTATTATTCTTCTACAATATTTTCTTTTACTGTTTGAACTCCTGAAAAAAAACTGAGATGGGTTTTCTTGGAAGTGTTGGGTCTTGGTTACTTCTATAGTTCTCAACTGTTTGAAACCATAGTGAAAGAAAACAATCAAGCAGAAAGTCTGTAGGTATTTTGACTAATTTTCTTCTGCATCCTTCTGCTGTGAGACTTGGTCTTCTTCTATGTAAATCATAAATTTATGGATAGACATATCTCAACTTCATGTGCAAAACAGGGCCAGCAGGCTGAGGGACAGGGACTGCATCCTTCTTGGCCATGACTTGGGGGCTTATTGGCTTTCACTCCCTGAAGAGCACTCAACCCTTCGTAGTTCTTCATCTGAAGTCAGGTTGAAGTTTTCCAGTTCATTTATTCTCTCTGCATTTTTCAATTGGGTGCAACTATACAAATGCTCTCTGTATTGAAGATTAAGGTTCTGTGTCCTACTTGTGCTCCCCACCAAGCCAGAAATGGTGCATCGTTGTGTAGGTGAAGATGACACTAGTACAGAACAGAGATCATTCAGATACAAATTATCTTCATTTAAACCACTCTTCCCAGAGATGTAAGATGTGGTTTCCAGGCCCTCAAGCACAGACACTCAGTCTGTAAACACTGAATGAGTGACCTAATTACTTGGCTATTGAGACACTTCTTGAATCTGTCTGAAAAAGTTTTTGAGCTAAAACTATTTGATGAATTTGGCCCACTCTTGTAAATGGCTGCAACATCATCAGAACAGCTCTTTAGTGTATGGGCTAAAAATAAAGAAATAACTTGGCTTTAGTCTCATGCATTTTGTTCTTTACTGCCTTCACGGATGGGATTGCTCTGGGGCAATAAGCACAAGTTCACCTAACCAGAAGACAAAGTGCTCTGTAGTTTGTGCTGATATAGATAATAATGTTGTCTTTATAAAATATCCTGTGATAGGGCAGAGAGCTGCACACTACACAAAAGCACAGCTCCAGGGAAGTAAAAGTTGTATTTGCTTATAATATATGCTGGTGGTGGTCTTTGTAAAACCTACTTCATCTCTTCCCTCCCAGACCACAAATAAAGGGTTCAGATGAGTCCTGAACACAGATGAAAGCTACTGTCTTCTTCCTCTGAGTCCTTAAGCTCTCCAGAGGGAATGAATAATGGGTTTGTTCCAGTAAGATACTGTGCATATAATCTCTCATATATTCTGTTCTTTTGTTTCTGCATCATACAGGCAGAGCAGGGAGCAGTGAGAGTGGGAGGACGATTAAATGAGTGGTTTGGAGAAGCTAGTCATCACATCTGAAGTAATGGTAAAATTATCACCTTTTCTGCACCAAACTTAAATATTGGGGTCAGGGAAGGATGGCAAACTTCCCTGTTCCTTCCTGTGGTTAGCTTCTTTCTTATGGGTAGGTCTGAGCCATGCTTTCTGGCACAGAAAACCATCACAATATAGCAAAACCATGAGCTAAAGCAGTGATATCCAAACATGCATTAACCCTTGGTAGCCTGGACATACTCGCAGAGCTGTTAAATCATTCCTATTAGAGGCAGTAGTATCAGACTCAGTAAAATTCTGCATAATGACTGTTCTGCTTCTCTATAAGGAAATTGCTACATTAGTCAGTATTACTCAATATCTAGATACAGCAGAATAAACCAGAAACATTTATTTTCCTTAGAATGTGAACTTTCCTTAGAATGTGAAACCTGTTGTAACTTTTGGCTAAATTACAAGAACTCATCAGTTTATTGTGAAATTAAAACTATCTATTAATAAAAAAGAGAACTTGCTCCTGTATGTTTAATAAACTCTTGTCACAGGGAGTGAAAGTCAGTGGAAAAAACCCCAAAACTGATATATGGAAAAGAAAAAAACCCTGGCAAACTCAAGATAAGCCAGGCTAGCTGTATGTGTATAAACATATTAGGTTATTTCTTCAGTTTGCCTCAGAGTATAAATATTATAATAGGGCATGATTTGTTTTCTCAGCCTTTGTCTGCAGCAAAGACGATAGAAGCTTTGTACCTACTATGGCAACAGAAAGCTGTGTTTGTACTGGATAGCTTCCATGAAAACTCCTGATGTTGCCTTCATGGGTTCATGTCCAGTGTATGAAAAGGCCATTGGCTAATTGTAGCCCTGTTACGTCTTGTTCTGCTCAGAGCAAAGCTGGTGTCTGTCTGATGTAGCATTTTAAGCCCTGGCAGCTGCTGTCATGTTGTGTGTGAGAGGTCCTGCCATTGCTGCAGGAAATAGTAGGGTTTTCTTGAGGAAAATTTACTTTATGTAATGTTTCCAAAATAATTTTCAAAAGCAGTTTTGCAATGCTTAGGACCAGATTTTGATCAAATTCAGTCTCGTTTACTCCAGTGAAGTAAATAATCCCCATTTACCTAAGCAGTTTATTAATTAAATGATAGCTACATAAGCAGCTTTACCTTGTTCTGTCTCTCTATCCTCCTTCTGCATGCCCTCAGCCCCACAAATGTGAACTTCTTAGAAGCTTCTCCACAGACTGCATCATCTATTCATTCATTTGGCATTTTCAGAAACTTGATCAAAACCTAAAAGCAAGAACTGAATATTTTGCTGCTGTGCAAACAGAACTCTCTTTTTCCCATTGTGATTTCCTTTCATTCCCTATATTTCCTTTTCTGACAAGTGGACAAAGCCGTTTGATTGATTTTATATTATTTAATACTTTCATTCATGGAAATACTGCAATATTTATGGGATATAAAAAAAACACTGTCATGGAAAAGACAAATAGTCCTTGTGACTCTTCTGAATTTGGAAAATAATAGTTTCAGGAAAGTGAATGTCTTTGTTCAAGGCTTTCCTTAGGGAAAAAAGAAATTACAAAAAGATACTGTAAATTCTGCCTCCCCTTTAGGCTTAGGCACTAGAATTAGCCCTTCGTAATTAGGTTTGCCTTTCCAGGATCTTTGTCTTTCAGAGAGATGTTACAACTGGAGTAAGTGGATTTAACTTCATTTTTACTTTTAAGAAATGATGGAGATGATAGTACATTTCCTACCTCTTATTTTTCCTATATTCTAGTTTGCAGCTCTCACCCAGGAAACTGAAGGCAGTGACCTACTGTCCTTAGTCTGTACTAACAGAAGAATTACCTTATGACCAGATTCAGTCTGGTTTGACCTGGGATCACTTTTCCTCCCCTCTTCTTGTTTCCCTTCCACCCCTCTGGAGTGCTGAGTTTGTGCTTCTGCTCAGAAACAGTTTGTGATTCCTGAAGAACAAAGGGCAGGCTTTAACAGTTAGTCAAGTTGGGAGAATTAGATCCTTGGGTTCAGTCTTGGCTTCTGGTATTGCTTCTGTACTTTATGGACTGGAAAACACATAGATTAGACTGAAGAAATAATGACTACATTTTTCAGTTTGAATTTAATCTTAATCTTGTACCTGATGTGCTTTCATTCAGGAGTTTGAAGAGAAAATTTGTTTGTGTTGATCTGACCAGAAGCAAAAAAAAATTAGTTTTCTTCACTTAGTTCTCCCCTGACATCAAGAAATGTATATTCCATGCTCTGCCACCCTACAGCTTCAATAGAAAGGCTGGAAAGCTAATACTAGAGCAGAGGGATGAGGGTGTTTTACCAGGAGACTGTTTTAACACAATTTAAGCTAAAAAATATTTTAAATATATGCCTACCCCATATTAAGGAGCCTTTAAACTGGGCAATGGTTAGGTGTCATCACCCTTGCTTAAGGGGGGAACTCAGAAGTCATGGAAGAGGGCAGAGTGAGCTGAAAGACTGTTCCTAATGACAACAAGAAGAGGGAAAAAAAATTAAAGTCAAGCTGAGACTCTGGGGACCAAAACATTTTATTTTTCTTTTTACCTGTAATTTTGCTGTTGGTTGTGAGTGTTTATGCTCTAGGAACCGTGAGGAGTTGGATAAGGTGAATGGGTCAAATACTGACATTATGACAGTTCTTGTCTCTGGAAGGTAATTTCTTGAGAATTATCTCAGACAGCTGTATGGAATATTTTTCTATGCGTGCAAGTGCTAGCAGTTTTTCATGGTTTAAGCCAGTCAACAACTAAGTACCGTGCAAGCACCCGCTGTCTCTCCCTTGCCTCCTAGTGTGATGAGGAAGAGAATCAGAAAAAGGTGAAACTTGTGGGTTGAGATAAGAACAGTTTAAATATTGAAATACAGTAAAATATTATAATAATAATATTTATAATGATAAGAATAATAATGGAAAGGAAAAAGAGAGAGGAATAAAGACTAAAACAGACAAATTATGACAATTGCTCACCAACCCATGCCCAACATATCCCCAAGAAGCAATAGGCCCCTCCCAGCCAACTCCCCACAGTTTATATGCAGAGCATGACATTCTATGGTATAGAATATCCCTTTGGCTAGTTTGGGTCAGCTGTCCTGGCTGTGTTCCCTCCCAGCTTCTTGTGCCCCGCCTCACTAGCAGAGCGTTAGAAACTGAGAAGACCTTGATTATGGTAAGTACAACCGAGCAACAGCTAAAACATCGGTGTGCCCTCAACATTATTCTCAGACTAAAGCCAAAACACATATATAAAAGACTGAAAAAAGAAATACGAATGAAAAAAAATATATGCTATAAGAATAGCATAGTTAAGGTTGGCCTTCTCAGAAAGTGAGTAGCAATCGTAACCTATATAGTAATCATGGTTAAAAACAGAAGACACAACAGCAACATGTACTGGCAACTGAAAAAGGGACTAGATAGCATGTGCTGTAAAGTTACAAGCTTTTGTGATGTCTGTATTACCATGTCTTTATTATTGCTGGTAAGTCCAAGTTGACTGCATTTTGCTGTGTAGAAGACCTGCAGCAACTAAAACACTTGAATTTGGAAAGACCTTGGTATATCATATAGCCTGTCAGGCTTTTTCTCATAGCCATTCTTCACTATTCATGGTAAATGTTTATTGGGTCCTGAAGATACCTCTGGGAAGTGTAATGACCACACTTCAGCTTCCAATGGTCCCCACTTTTCCTCTGATGTTTAATACAAGACTGCTGTGTTGCAATTTCAGACCATTACCTCTTCTATGCAAGATGAACACATAGAACAAATTGGTCTATTCTTCTTTGGAACAGCCTTTTATGCATTTTATGCTTTTTTGAAGTATTCATGCATTTGAAGCTAGTCAGATTTTTATTGCTGTAATAAATAATCCCAAGTCTCTCATTCTTTCCTACTTTTCTATACTTTAATTTCTATTGCAGCACTTTTTTGGAATCTTCTGTTTAATTTTTGCTGAAAGCAGGGTGCTCAAAATTTGTCACTTTTGTGGTCTTGCCTTACCAACATTGATTAAAAAAAAAAAAAAGGAGAGTGTTAAACTGAAAAGGCAATATTTAAGACAGTATTGAGTGGAACCTAACACTTAAACTAACATGCTGCATTTTTTATTTCTGAAGAATGAAAACCTGATTAAAAGTATTGTTTTCCCCATTGTGCTGAGATATTTATCTCCAAATATTAATTCTGTAGCTTATTTTGTTGCAAATTAGTTATGAGAGAATAGAATAAGCTTTTTGTCCAAACAACTCTTAAACAATTTATCTTGTTCACCATATCCTACTAAGTATTCAAAGCAAGCTGTGACTGTTGCTTTTAGAAAAGATTAACAGTGGACTAATACAATGAGAAAATTGCATGCTGACTTTAAACAAGGCATATTTTTGTGTTTCCTTTGAAAGGACAGCTCTTATTTATAATGTTATGGTTGAAAATTTGAAACTTGCTGAAGTTTTCTACATTTTTGAAGCTGAACACTGAAAATTGATTACCTTAATTTTTCTTTTTCATATTGAATTTACTAGAAAATTACCAATGTGATTTGTCACCATCACATATTAGGCAAAAAGGCAGCAAAGTTTTGTTCAAGGTAAGAAAACAGTTGCTGCTTTCATGTGAAATGGGCCAACTACTGTTGAATTTCACTTGCCTAATTTTAAAAATAAACAAGTTCCAAACCACTATAGTGAAAATCTAAGAATTAATATAAGTACATGGCATTGTGACTTAACAACTAATAATAAGGTGCCAAACTCCTTTAATTCTATCCATAATAAAGCAGATGACCAGTAGGAACTGTTATAGCTAACACAAAGCTTTCCAGCTAATAGGTTAGATAAGACAACAGCCATGCAGTTATTAGTTTCTCTATAACAGGGTTGCTTTGGACTCCTCTCTGACACCTCTGGGAATGGGTAACTATTCTGTTTGCATGAGTGATATAATATAGTTACAAGATTTCTGCTTCGAAACTGCCTTCAAAACCTGTACTGACAAGTCTTAAAATAAAAGTCATAGTTTATTGCTAATAGAATTATTTTACTTATATACTTATTTGTCTCTACACATATATGCATTAAGAGTATTAGCATCAAGAAAGAAATAAAGAAAAAATATGTAGAAAAAGGTTAAATGGAAATGAAGAATAATAAATTCTATAACCTGAAGTCGCATGTTTTCCTCCTTCATCCAGCAAGTATTTTCTCCCAAGAAAAGCCTCAGACACTTTCCAGCTCCCTTGGAAGCTCAGTGTGCTCCAGCTTTGCCATATATCCAGCAGGTGAGAGGTCCCTGCACCTTTGGATGATAGTTGCTTGTGCTTATGCAACTTT